CTGCTAAGAGTAGGTGGAATGGACGGTTCAACAGAGCTATGGCTCTGGGTGAGTTTGGCAACTGTAGTAAAAATAAATCTAGGATTATTGTTATTCTCCTCTATTAATGAGGAGAAGTATGCTGCTCTTGCTTTACAAAGAGTCCTCTTATACAGCAGTAAGCTATTTTTCCAGACTAGGTAGGATTCCCGTAAGGCTGTGGAGCGATATTTCCTCTGCAGTTTCCTAGCAATTTGCTTCAAAGTGCGCAGCTCTACATTAAACCAGGGAGCCAGCTTTCTATTTTTAATGGTTTTGTTTTTCAAAGGGGCTGTATTGTCAAAGGCAGTACGCAGAGAACTAGCAACCCCATCAACAAAACCATCAACCTGTGAAAGGGAATAAAGTATATGTTTTGGTTAGCTGTAGCTACGGCTGCTGCTGGCAGCTTTTCACTGAACACGTCTTCAAAACGTTCCAGCTCATAGAGACGCCATTGGAGCGCTCCAAGTTCTCCTGATCTCATCTGACCTGCTTCACCCTCTTTGAAAGCAGCTCAGGTTTCTTAGGAAGCTTAAATAATCCAACGCCATCCTGATAGGGGCTGAAGCAAAAAGCTGCGACCCAAAGTGAAGACATCGTTTTATCTGAATCCTCCAACCTTCTGCTGTAATTGTGTCCCTCCCCAGGGAAGGGTACCATTCCTGGTTCCTGACAAAGTTCTGTGGACCCAGCTGTGCGAGACCCTGGACATGAAGTACAAAGCAGAGATGCACAGTGGGCGGGGCCTGACTGAGGACAACCTGGTCTTCTTGGCCCAGAAGGCTTTTTCCAGCAGCAGCAACAACCCTGAGGATTACCGGAACATGACCATTTCCTGGGCCCAGTTCAACCGGGTGAGACCAGCTGGTTCTGTCTCTTCTCTCAGCAGGTGCTGCGGGATCAGGGTTAAGCTGGAGGAAACCGGCTGATCCTCACCTCTCTGTACCCAGAACCGGGCTGACGGGTTCTGTGTGCTTTGACAGGAGAACCTACCTGGACGGAGCTTCACCTTCTGGCAGTGGTTTGATGGCGTGGTGGAGCTGATGAAGAAACACCTGAAGCCTCACTGGAACGATGGGTAACAAACAATTTTCAGACCCGTGGTTCAGCGAAAGCTTGAGGTGTTGGTTTAACCTTTTCTTTCCCCTGCGGTTCCGACTTTAGGGCTATCCTTGGCTTTGTGAACAAGCAGCAGGCGCAGGACATGCTGCTGTCCAAACCCAACGGAACCTTCCTGCTGCGCTTCAGCGACTCGGAGATCGGAGGCATCACCATAGCCTGGGTCGCTGAAAACCCCAACAAACAAGGTTATATTTTATTCTGCAAGACATTTTAGATGCTGGTTTCCTTTGTTTTAGTGTCAAAGTAGATTAAACTGAAAATAAAGACCTAAAAGTGTTGAAGAGACAGAAGATGATCCTCAGCAGTGGTCATTTGGCTCTGCAGAAACAGAAGAACTTTTCTGACCTTAAACTCCATCTGGAGGAAGTGGGAAGCTAATTGTTGTATTTCTGCTCTTTCGGTCTGTGACCCGGTTCTGTAGGTGAGAGGCTGGTCTGGAATCTGCTGCCTTACACCACTAAGGACTTCTCCATCCGTTCCCTGGCCGACCGTATCAGTGACCTGAACCATCTGCTGTTCCTCTACCCGGACCGGGCCAAAGACGAGGTCTTCTCCAAGTACTACACCCCCCCGCTCTGTATGTGGCGTGAGCCTAGATCCGGTTTCTGTAGTTGACCCAGTTGGAGGTTCTGTAAAGCTGAACCAGTGTGTTTGTCTTGCAGCCAAACCGGTGGATGGATACGTGAAACCACAGATCAAACAAGTAGTTCCAGAGTAAGTTGGAAGTTCCTGTGGCCTTAGGAAGCTGCAGGGATCCTGCATCTGTCCTCAGAGCGCTCTTCCATTAAGGCCCGCTGGGTTCTGTTAGGTATCAGAACTGTAACAGCAGGGGGTCCAGGTTCTAAAGCAAACCCAGAAGAACCGTGTTATCAATCTGTCCATGTTACTGCAGCCGTAACATGACCCAGATGGTCCGCTTTGGTCGCCTCAGTCTTCGGAACATAGATCTTCCTCATTAAGTTATCCAAACAGGCCATCGGGTTCTTTCAGGTCAGCAGCGGTTCTGGCATGGAAGCGGTTCTGCCCAGTCTTTCCTCATGTCAAACCCTGACCTAGACTCAAACAGTGAGGCCTGCAGAGCTGGAGACAATGTTCTGGGTTCTCCTAGAGGGATTCTGGAGCTCCAGTCTTTCCTGACGATCTTCTCCACTGTTCCATGTTTTCTCCACTTGTGGACGGTGGCTGATGTTGAGGTTCCCAGTCGGACTGAGGTCTCTGATGCCGACCAATGATGTTAGGAACTGTTTGTTTTTAACTCTTTAAATCCAGTCATTGATCTTCAACTAGGGGCGTAATCTTTAAATCATCTTTTTTTCTAAATCAGGTTTTAAAAGGAGTTTCTGACATTTGAAACTCAATCAGAAGCAGCTCTTTGCCAGACGCTCTTTGCTGCCCTCTAGAGGGCCTTTTTTTAGTAGAAGATTTTCACCAATTTTTGAAAAGACCCCCCCCCCTCCTCTTTAAAAAAAATGCACATGCCCAACCCTGTACCTGCTCCTAGAGGGAACGCCTATTTACCTCGTGCAAGAGCGTGTACGAGCCCATTTCTCCTCGTGCACGCTCTGTTTAAAAGTTGCTGTTCTCATAGCAGCTCACTGTGTCTGACCGTCCGCTCTAACCCCTAAATTCCTCCATCACTATAGAGCGGGGACTATATAGTGAACTTTATAGTGAACTCAGTTAACTGACCGTTCAGACAGAAGATCACTGCTTTTTGCGCCGTTGGTCACGTAACTCCTCCTCCACCGCACTGTGCCTGCGCCATTTTTATTAGCCGCTTTGACAGTAAATCCCATAATGCTTTGCGAGAAGAGCTCTAGACTCAAAGCATTCTGGGAAGTATCTGCCTCTTCTGAGGCCTTTCTTTTCTTATCATTCACTTCATAGACACTATTTCTCTTCCGACCGTCGGCCATTTTCAAAGAACCGCGGTGAGAAAGGTGAGCTTCAGTGACTGTCTGAAACCGTAGCTCACCACAGATATACGCCTGAAAGAAAATGATAGCTAACGGGACGGGAACATAGGACGGCCTTACGGAAACAGATCACCAGGATGATTGACAGTTAGAAGGACCACTGATTGAGATGATCCACCCAGAAATAAAAGATCCTCCTCTATAGCTTTAATGTCCGGAGATAATTTCTGAAATTAAGAAGTGAGCTCTGAACTGGGATCACTTTTCTTCCCTCCTTATCTTTCTTAGAACCTGCAGAGCACCTTGTCAGGTTTTCCATTCTTCTCTGGTTTATGAGCTGTTGTTGTCACCAGTGTGGATCCTGAAGTCTCCTCTCTGGTAGGTTCACCACCCCGAACCCAGAACCCTGCCCTGGAGTGGTGTTCATGGACCAGACGGCGTCCTCCTCTGCCAGCCATTCCAACAACTTCGGGGTTTACTCCTCCATGTAAGCTTCCTTTCTCTGGCTCACTATGTAGGACCAGAGCAGCTGCTTGCTTTGCTCCACTGACCTCCTGACCTCTGCTGCTCTGACAGTGGTGACCCCATGCTGGATCCAGATGGAGACTTCGACTTGGAAGACACCATGGATGTTGCTCGTCACGTGGAGGAGCTGCTGCGCCGGCCCATGGCCAACCAGTGGGGCAGTCAGCAGTCCTGAACCTGAAACCTCAACCTGCTGCTCACCTTCTTCTTTTATTTCCTTTGTCTGTTTTGTTCTTTAAAACCACTAAAAAGCAACAATAATCCCAACCAGCATCTCAGCCCTCCTTCTGCTTTGGACATTTGGATCTGCTGTCCACATCAGGTGGAGGGCTGAGACGGGCCTGATTTCTCTTCCTGCACCAGCGTCTCTAGGGCTGATATCTATGCTAGCTTTGTGGTTTTTCTTCTCCAACGGTGGGACATGCAGTTATTTTAGAAAAGTCTGGACAGAACTTTGCTGACTTGATGGGAACAACCGGCTGCCTAGTCCTACGGTTCTCTGCCCTTCTGCCTATCTGTACAGAAAAGTTCAATCATCGATTCTATTAGCAGGAAAATCCAGTGGAGATGTTTGCTGAGCGCCAAGCACTATGAACGCCATTAGAAACCATCCACGAACCGGTCAGCAACCATCCACGGACCGGTCAGAAACCATCCACAGACCGGTCAGCAACCATCCACGAACCGGTCAGCAACCATCCACGGACCGGTCAGCAACCATCCACGAACCGGTCAGCAACCATCCACAGACCGGTCAGCAACCATCCACGAACCGGTCAGAAACAATCGACAGTTAGAAACCAGATGAACGGCACCAATCGGGTCGGTACCAGGGTGCTGCAGATTCCAGACTGGATCCCTGATGGGGTAGGACCTGACGGTACCAATCCCCAGCGCTGGAGGCTCCTCTGCAGACGTTTTAGTGGTATCAGGTTTGGTTCTCAGCCAGGTTCTGTCTGTAACCCATTTATATGACAAAGTTCTGGTTCTGAAGTCGCGCTGTTCAGCTGCTGATCTGAGCTAGCGGGTTCCTGACCGCTCCAGAAGGTCTCTGGATCTGCTCCTTTCTAAGGCCTCCTGAACTCTAATGCAGCCATGGTCCGTGTGGTTCTGCTGGTTCTAGTGGTTCTGCTGGTTCTGTTCCAGGACGTTTGGGTATCTGGCTGATGGTGTGGATGGAGGTGCCTCATGGTCCGCTGGGCGTCTGTAAAAGGAAGTGGAACCACCCCACCTTCCTGCTGAGTCCTGAAGTGCCTTTTTCAGAGCCGCAGGTCCATCCCAGTAATGAACCGGACCTTGCTGCTCCAGAATTGATTAAATGGACTTTAGTTTATCAAAACAGAACCCATAGTTCTGCTCCTCTGACCCTCTCTCTGGGTTCTACCGGGTCAGCCGACTGCCAGGGCTCAGAAAGTGTTCTAGTAGCGGGTCTGTTCTAAGGTACTTGGACCTTTCCTCGGTTCTGGCAGATCTGGATTCCCCTTGTTGATTGGTACCTGAAGAGTTTTTTTCTGTATGGATCTAAAGTTTTATTTGTTTCTAATGGACTTAATGTTCTTTTAATTTGGCTGAAATTTTTTTTTATATTTACAAAGCATCTAAATAAAATATAACTTTCTAAAAATAATTTGATGGGTTGTTTTTTTTTATAGAAAAATGTATTCATGGTTTTCCTTTGTTTTTTTTGTTTTTTTTTTAAGATATGTGGAGTTTTGTCATTAATAAATTCCTGAAAAATGTGGATCCATTATTCTTTCTTTTTCCATCTTTGTGTTTATTTTTCTAAAACCTCCGGCTGCTCTTATTTCCTCATTAAACTGATTCTCTGATGATAAACTTTCCAGATACGCGTTTAGAAAAATATTGATAATCCTGCATCTGGCCTTTTTCCTGATCCACCTGGGTTAACTTCGTTGTGAAACTGAATTGTTCAGTTTTTCTAATGTGAAAATTTTAAGAGTTTTTATCCAGATGTTTATGCTGTAATCA